GCTGGACTAGGCTGGTGTCCTGTGCAGGAGTCTGGGGTCTGTTTACCTCTCCCAGCTGGGCTGTGTCGGGGCGGGAAGGAGACCTAGGAGGGTGCCAGGGCTTGTTTTACAGCATGCACAAAACTGGCCTGCCGTGGATGCACCCTCTGAATGGCCTACCACGGTGCCCACCGTGCCAGCTTCCCAGGCAGCCTTACTCCTGCCAGATAACATCTTTAATATCCAGGAGGAAATTAATTCCCTGCCTGAGCTGCCCGCCTGCCCCCCCCCCATGTCCCCTTCTTCCTGTCAGCTTTTATGGATTGCTTCTGCAGCAGGGCACAGGGGTGCTGGAGCTGAATATAGCATATGAACCCACTCTCCTCCCCCTCCCCTCCCTGTCCCCTCCCTTTGTCTTTTGAGACAGTCTTGTTCTGTGGGCCAGTCTGGCCTTGAACCTGGGTTGGTTTTCTTGCCTTTGCCTGGGATTAGAGTGCCACCATCCCCACAGCCCTGGCGCAGAGCTAGAGCTCTCTGAGTTTTGAGACAGACAACTTTCAGTCCTTTCTTTCCTCTGGGTGGTTTCCAGGAATCAGACTCGGGTGAGCTCAGGGGGTCATCCTCGGCAGCAAGCACACTTACCTACTGAGTCATCTCATTTCCCCCTCTTTTTAAAAATAGGGTCTTATGGTACATTAAGTTCCATAAATATGCACAATTACTATGTGTCAATTTGTGTTCATTTTCTTATTAAATTTTTATTTTTTTATATTAATTAGTGATGGGGACAATTAATGAATGATGAGGGGCACAACAGATTTCATATGAAAGAGGTTTATTAGATGGAGATAGAGAGAGAAGGGAAAGCAGGACATGATGGGGGAAAGAGAGAGGGGCAAGAGGGGCAAGAGGCCAAGAGCAAGAGAGACAAGAGAGGAAGAGATGCTCTCTTTAAGAGGCAAGGTAACTACGCCTTCCAGGTGTGGCCACCTGGCCGGTGACACATGTGACATCATAGGTTGCTAGGCAACCCAGAAGCAGGTTCCTAAATACTAACAATTAGTTTATTTATTTTTGTATCCCAGCTGTAGCCCCCTCCCTCATTCCCTCCCAATCCCACCCTTCCTTCCTCATCTCCCCCCAAGCCCCTCTCTAAATTCCATCTGACCCTAGCCTATCAGGTCTCATCAGCACTGGCTGCATTGTCTTTCTCTGTGGCCTGGTCAGGCTGTCCCCACTCTGAAAGAATCAGACTAACTTTGTAACCTATGTTTCTTTAATTGCCTTATAACTTATATTTGCAAGTTTTAGGCCCATGTTAATTAAAGCCTCTTAGTGCTTCTCCAGAGAGCCGAGGAATGTAAAAGTTCCTGATATTAGCCATCTGTGAGGGCAGAGATAAGGAAGAGAACAAGCAGAGATCTCTACTAAATGGAGAGAAAAATCACTGGCTGGCACCTGTGAGATGAGCTTTGTTTGGAAACTGGGCCAAATGGCCCCAATCCTTCTCCTGACCTTTGATCCAAAGCCTGTAACCCCCACTCCTCAGAACAGACACGGGATGAATTAATCATTCTCCCACCTTTAACTGTGGCTATATCTCATATGGGAGAAAATTCCAAACTGACTTGAAGATCAGATATTTATGACAGAGCTGACCAGACCTAAGGGTGCCCAGAACCAACCAATTATTTTAAAAGTTAAATACCTCATCCAATCATGAATTGCCAAGAAGGCAACCCCTGGAATTTCCTGCGCCTTGTCTTTTAAAAACCTAAGGTCTTTGTCTCCCGGTGCCACTCCTTGCTGACCAGCAGGGGTGACCCCATTGCGCAATGGTCAGAATGAACTTCTTGCGATTTTTGCATCGATAGATGATTAGTTTCCTGAGTTCTCTTCATACCTTCTTACATTTAGGCTCTTCCTGGGCCTAACACCTCAGGGGGAAGTGATCAAAGAGCCAGCCACTGAGTTCATGTCAGAGACAGTCCCTGTTCCCCTTACTAGAACACCCACTTGGAGACTGAGCTGCCATGGACTACATCTGAGCAGGGGTCGGATTATATATATAGGTTTTATCCATGAATGGTCCTTGGTTAGATTATCAGTCTCAGAAAAGACCCCTGTGCCCAGATTTTTTGGTTTTGTTGCTCTCCTTGTGGAGCTCCTGTCTTCTCCAGGTCTTACTAAAGCTCCCTTCTTTCCTAAGAGTCCCTGAACTCTGCCCAAAGTTTGGCTGTGAGCTTCAGCATCTGCTTTGATATACTGCTGGGTAGAGTCTTTCAGAGGCCCTCTGTAAGAGGCTCCTGTCCTGTTTCCTGTTTTCATTTTATTTTTTAATGCATGGCAATTTTTCTTCCAGATTCATTGCTTTCACAGTATCCTATTCCAATAAGAGTTTCCTACATTTAGAAGGAAGGAATGATGGCCCATCACATAAAAACCACTAGGATTTCTTCCATCAAAATGACTTGTGAAATCTCTCCCACTTATACCACAGTTAGGAAGATTTTGTCTTGGGCACCGTTCTAAGACACTGTTTTCCAAACAGTGCACATTCGCAGCTTTTCGCAGCTTTTCGCCCCGTTTTCAGTTTGCTTTGGTTTCCTGAGGCTATTCCACTGGATCATCAGTTTCCCATACTTTATCTGGGAAAAAGCACACTTGTGCTTGTTCTGGCTTGAGGATGCTATCAGGTTAACGTGTTGATCTATCTGTTGATCTATCAGAGGGCCACAGCAAGGGTGTCTTCCCCATCACCATTCCCCATACAGCCATTCTATGCTAGGTCCGACAGTCATTGCTCCTCCCAGGAAAAATCCACCCAAGACAGTGTTCTGTGGATGGAAGCAGTCATCCCACGGTCCATCTTGGCATCCTGTGGGAGATGTCTGTAAGTCCAGCAGAGAGCAAACGAAGAGGGAAGCTATGGCCCACAGAATATGGGATTCAGTTCCACGGCTCCAGGCTCCTTATCTCCACTCTTCAGCAACATCCGAGGTCAGTTACCGAGGTCAAATCTTTGACAAGAGACTGGGGCCAGATTACAGCACTGGCTCTTTTGACCTAAGGGAATATAGGAGACCAGGGCGGCTGGCAGGCTCCCACCAGATCAGCTGTTAGCCCAGAACTCCTCAGACCTGCTCCAAGCTCAGGAAAGCAGCTCTTTGGGTGACCTGGAGACCAGAATGGTTCACTCCACTCCTGGGTGATTACATTACCAAACAAAACTGATATGTCTCCATGTTTAAGAATCCCCAAGTTAGGAGAAAGTGACTGCGAGAGGACAATAAAGGGTAGAATACAAATATATAATTGTACACATGTACAAAAATGTCATAATGAAAGCCTGGCTGGGGGGTGCACACCTGTGATCCCAGTACTTGGGGAGGCAGAGGCAGGTGGATCTTTGAGTTCAAGGCCAGCCTGGTCTACAAAGTGAGTGCAGGACAGCCAAGGATACACAGAGATAACTCTGTCTTTAAAACCAAAACCAAAACCAAACAAAATGAAAGCAGCTAAAAAGAACTAAAATATTAGTTCTTTTCTGTGTCTAAAACTTCTTTTGAATATGGAGGTCCAAGGACATGAGTATATGTCCTTGTCTTCTGTTTTGTTGGAGGCAGGCTCCTCTGGAGATTGTCCTGTCATCACAGCCCTTCTGCCTGTAGGAGAGCTGGGATTACAAGCACATGCTACTGTGTCCGGTGTTTACATGGCTTCTGGTGTTTAACATGCATTGTTATGCTTGTATAGCAAGCACTTTACCAACTTTGCCATGTCTGTCTACTGTCCATGCAGCCACAATGTTTTTTTGTTTTTTTTTTTTTGTTGGGGGAGACATTGACACAAGATTTCTCTGTGTAGCTTCTCCCTGGCTGTCCTGGAACTCACTCTGTAGACCAGGTTGGCTGCAAATTCAGAGAGCTTCCTACCTTTGCCTTCTAAGGCCGGGGTTAAAGGTGTGTGATGCCACTCCCCTAGCTCAAAAATGTTTAGTGACATTTTAAAGGTGAGAGGCAGAGGTAGGTGGATCTTTGTGAGTTTGAGGCCAGCCTGATCTACAGAGAGAGTTCCAGGACAGCCAAGGCTATATAGAGAAACCCCATCTCAACAAACAAAAACAAAATACAAACAAACAAAAAAAGAAGACAGTGGAAATATCTAAGTCAGCCCTCCAAAACCCCTTAACTCTAGTTATCTATCGATCCTTAACTCTGTGTCTTATCTTTATTTAAATTGTGAGATACTTTCCACATATCCAGATACATTTGGAGCCAGACGAATAATGTAACTTCAGAATTTGGAGAGGCCAGAGGGTGGCTTTATGGCAAAGACCTATAATGTCAGCTGCAGGCAGAGTAGCGATTCGGAACCATCACAAGTTCGAGGCCTGCCTGTGCTACAGAGTGAGTTCAAAACTAACTTGGGAAAAAAAAAAAATCTGCTCTCAAAAAAAAAAAGCCCCCCCCCCCCCCCCCCACACAAACACACCAGAAAAGAAAGAAAAGAGAAAAGAAGAAAAAGAAAAAGATTGGTGATGTGGTTTAGCGGTACGGCAATCGCGTAGCATCTGTGAGAGCTGCGATTCCGTCTCTAAAGCCAGAGGTGGGGAAGGAGGTTCTGGAGGTCAATCCTCCTGCTCCAGCCTCCCTGGCTGGACGCGGGTTTTCGTCAGCTGGCAGACGTCGGGTCCCAGAGAAGGAGGGACAACTGACCTACTGTAATTTCATCTGGCGATGGTGCTGTCGTTAGGGTGTAGCAAACGGTTTGAAGGGAGAGGTCCGTGAACGTCCGATTCAGCCGGAAATACAGCGTCAGGAAGGGGTGGGGGGTGGCATCCTGCAGGTGTGGGCTGAGGGAGATCTGGGCGCAGCACCGGGGGACCCCGGTAGGGTGCCCGACGCGCCTCCGCCAGCCCCGGGCCGCTAGCCGCAGCGGTGGCCCCGCCTCCGGAGTCCGGCTGGGAGGCGGGGTCCTGTGCGTCACTGCCACGCGCCTCTCCCCGCGCTCGGAGTGGGCGGCGCGGACTGAGGACGTCACGGTCATTGACAGCGTGAGGTCGTGGTGGCTGCTGCTGCCATGGTGGCTGGCGGCTGGGTAAGGGTCTGAGCTGCTGTCGGGCGGGCCGGAGTGACTTCGGGGGTGCCGGGAGGCCTGAGGCGCCGAAGCCGGACCGCGGGGCGTCCGTCTGCTCCGGGGGCTGCAGCACCCGAGGGGCCTGATTGGGGGAGGCTGTGGGTAAACCGTGGGGGCCCGGGCTCATGACTCTCTCTCCCTCCCTCTCGGTCCGCTCCCGTTTCTTACGCTGCCTGCAGGTGCACTATGTCTAGACTGGGGCCCCTGGGCGGCAGCCGCGCCGGGTTGGGACTGTTACTTGGTACTGCCGCCGGCCTTGGATTCCTGTGCGTCCTTTACAGCCAGCGATGGAAGCGAACCCAGCGCCACAGCCGGAGCCACAGTCTGCCCAACTCCCTGGACTATGTGCAGCCTTCGGAGCGCGGACGCCAGGGTAAGAGCACAGATCATTACTGATAGCCCTGGGGCTCCGGCTGGCTTTGGCAGAGCGGGTGGTGTCGGGGTGGTGTCGGGTTCAGTTTCATTCTTTTAGGAAAATGTATCGAGAAGGAAAGCTGCACTCTTTTTCTCTGATTCCAGAAAAACAGCGCCGGAAGACTGTGTAGCTTTCACTTTTAGTTCTGGTCACGTTCACGAGTGTGTACTGAGGGCATTTGAGAAGTTGTTGGTTGAGGGGTACGAGAGACAGAGGAAGAATCTGAGAGAAGGAAAAGGAGTAATCTTGTAGGAATTAAAAGCTCCGGAGCCTTGAATATATTATGTATCCAGTTCTGAAGGACATTTGGAGAGTAACCCAAGTTTTTAAAATCCTTTTTATGAAGGAAATTTCAGAGGGATTGTGTAACGTCCTCAAGGTTGTTAACAGAGCAGTGGCAAAGCTGGACCTGGTCATCTGGGCCAGTGTACTTTCCATAACATGGGCTGCGAGCAGTCATGCAACGGAAGCCAACTGGTTGAAAGCCAACACTAACAGATGAAATGGGTACCGTTTTGTAAAAAAACCTTCGGGTTAACTTGTTTAAGCAAAGTATCTGAGGCCTTGAATCATTCCCGTTATTTGGGTAACAGAAGATCGTTTAGATACTCACATTCCATGCTGATTGGAAATGTTTTCTCTGACCATTGTAGTCAGAAATCCTCTTATTCCGTGTTAACTGGGAATGTTAGTTCTGCAAGAGTTTTTTTCCACACTTATCAAACCCCGGATTGCAGCTGTCAGTTTGATAACATGGTGGAAACGTGGCATGGCCAATGTCCAAGGTCCTGTCTTTCTCTCCTTCCCCTGTGCTTTGTTCATTTGTAATTTCTTAGTAATAGTTTGTCCCCCCTGAGGTTGGGACACTCGAGTATCTTCCTTGCTGTACCTTGAACACTGCTGGCCTAGACTGCTCCTAGATTTCCTTTAACAGGGGATATATGCATGCCTGCTCTGCGGGCACCCCTTCTTGGGTTCTTCCCTCTTGCATATTCCAGTTGCTTTAATGGCTACCAGGCTCCTAATATTTCACTGAGCTCAGTTCAGGGTGAGCAGATTGATTGTGGTAACAGTTTTTGTTTGTTTTCATTTTTCTTCATGGAGTTTGGCCAGTTTTTTCTATGGACCATTTCTTGGTGACTGCCCATTTTCTTTCTGCTCTTCTCTGATAATACTAATTATGGCCTCAAGAGAGAGCAGTTACTATTCATTGAGAGGTCAGGATTTGAACAAATCCAGTTTTTGTTTTACTGTATACTTGGTATTATTGACTGCCTGCTATTTGGCACTATAAGGCCAGAGACTTTTCTTTTTGTATTTTTAAGACAGGTCAGGCTAGCCTCAGACACTGTGTAGCTGAAGCTGGTCTTGAACTCTTGATCCTCCTGCCTCCACATCTGAGGTGCTACCACTCCTGACCAAAGGTTCTTTGACTCTAGCACAGCAGCTGCCCTGCCTTTTAAGAACCACACCCTTATAGGCACTTTCCATTATCAGTGTGTTCTAAAGGTTCTTCACACCTTTAGGGTGTATGTGTATGTGTGTAGGTTGTGGGAGGCACATGCCACAGCACTTCTGTGTGGAGGTCAGAGGACAGCTTGTAGGAGCTGGTTCCCTCCCTCCACCATGTGGATTTTGGGCATGAACTTAGGTCATCAGCCTTAGGAGCATGTACTTCTACATTGAGTCATTTTGTTGGTCCAGACTTTTTCTCTGGATAGTGACTTGGAACTTGTATTATGACTTTGCTGTGAAATGCAGGCTCCCAGAGGCTCAAATTCTTCTCTGTAAACTGAACTCCAAGAGGAGAAAATGGCCCAGTGTAGTGTCTCTGTCTTTAAACCCTACTTAGTTCCAGGACAGCTGGAGCTACATAGACTGTGTCTCAAAAAACAGAACAAGAGAAGCAAATGCTCTAGAGTTCTAGTTTTTTGTTTTGTTTTCTTCTATATCCCATGGGTGTCTGTCTCCTGTTCCCCTTGCTTCAGTGACACAGCTGCGGCCTATCCCAGGTGAAGCTGGAGATGCTTCAATGCTGCCCAGCCTCCCACAGGAAGGGCAGGAGAAGGTGCTGGACCGCCTGGACTTCGTGCTGAGCAGTCTTATGGCACTGCGTCGGGAGGTAGAGGAGCTTCGGAGCAGCCTGCAAGGGCTGGCTGGGGAGATTGCCGGGGAGGTCCGGTGAGTGACTTGGTCTCTTGCTTTGCCTGGTCCTTCAACTTTTCCTGGCTCCTATGGCTTTTTCAGCCATAGTGTTTTCTACTCTGTGTGGTCTCTAAGGAACAAGCCCGCTTTATAGTTGTTAACCTGATGTGGGGGAGGCTGCACATCTGGTCCCTCCCCTTTCCCAGTGTGCCCCTGTATCTGTCACAGCAGCTCAGCCTCTGCTCTTCCCAGTTCAGTCTGCCAAGAGGTGGCCTGAGGACCTGCCCTAGTTCTCCTGAAAGTAAAGTCCCAGAATTTTCTCCTGTCTTGGTCCTTTAATGAGGGAGGGGTGAGGGAAAGACAGGCTTGGGTCCTAATGTGCCCTCTGGGATGGTACCTGCTTTTCAGATCTCATATAGAGGAGAACCAGAGAGTGGCTCGGCGGCGCCGGTTCCCTTTTGCCAGGGAGAGGAGTGACTCTACTGGCTCCAGCTCTGTCTACTTTACTGCCTCCTCGGGGGCTGCGCTCACAGATGCGGAGAGTGAAGGAGGGTGAGTTGTCTCTCCTGGAGGCAGTTGTGGCTGCAGCTACATTGTACTTGTCAAAATACTGTTTATCACAGTCCAGACCAAGGCCCTGTAAATAATTTTTGAAGAAAAGTAGGAGTATGACTGAATGGAAACAACTTCCCAGTTTATGCTCTTCAAACAAATGAGAATGTTAGTGGTGGTTATGCTGTACATCTGTTTTTTTTTTTAATTGATTTTTTAATAGTTTTTTTAAAAACACATTTTATGTATATATTTTGCCTGCATAGCCCAGAAGAGTAGCAGATCCTCCTAGAACCAGCGTTACAAATGGTTATAAGCAGCCATGTGGGGTCTGGGAAGTGAACTTGAATCCTTTGTAAACCACCTCCTCAGCCTAGGGCTTTTTATTTTATTGTTTTTCTTTTTACATCATTTTTATGGGCACTTTTGGTGTCATCACAAGGACCTGTAAGTGTTGTTTTCTAACTTCATTCCTTTCCTTGGATGGTTGAGCAGTGTGTGCCCAACCTATGAGCCTGTTAGGTGCTTCCTTTCCCTAGGTGTTTCCTTTCCCTAGGTGTCACTCTCCTCTCAGGGTGCATGGCCCACATTCCCTTGTGTTTGGACAGTGGGGAGGTGACTGTCTTAAGTGTTCCACACATCAGGTAGGATGTGCCATGAAGTAGGGCAGTGGCAGGCAGGACAAGCTTTGTCAAGCTTGGTCAGGGGAAGGGCTTTTCAAGTTTGAACCACAGCCCCACTCTGAAACCTCGGTCACAAGGACAGTCTGGTGCTATTGGTCGCAGCATCTACCCATATATGCAGATAGCGCCAGTCACCTAGCTGGTCTGAGAGTTACAGGCTGATTTTAATACTGGGTGGCCCAGGTCAGAGAACAGTCAGGCTTCTGTTACGTCAGAGTGGCCGAGTTAACTAGAACCTGCCCATGGCAACTACAAGTTAAAATCAGCCATTCAGGATTCTCGTGAGCAGATTCATCTCATAATTGGGCACACCTTGTAACACTAGCTACCATTTGTTTTTTACTTCCTCACATACTCTTTTAAGCACCTTAGCAGTATTTTCTTAATCCTCAAGATAATTCTATGACCCAGGTTCTGCTCTTTTTCTTCTTCTTCTTTTTTTTTTTTAATTATTTATTATTTATACAGTATTCTGCCTGCACAACAGAAGAGGGCACCAGATTTCATTATAGATGGTTGTGAGCCACCATGTGGTTGCTGGGAATTGAACTCAGGACCTTTGGAAAAACAGACAGTGCTTTTAACCTTTGAGCTATCTCTCCAGCCTGCTCTTCTGTTTTTCAAAGGGAGAATTTGAGTTTATTCAGATTTGACACTCAGACCAGGATTATACAACTTCCAAGCTTAGATTTAGCCTGTCTGCTGCTAATCCCATCATCCTAAAGAGCTGATTTATCTGCAGCCATGTTTGAGTCTATGATCTGAGGAGTGGCTTGGTCTTCAGGGCACATAGGACTTCCACAGGCACATATTTGGCATGTAGCCCTTGGGAGTTCTTGCCATTGGCTCAGATGCCACAGCTCACTGCCCTGGAAAGGCCTGAGGTGTAGTAGCATTTTCTCTTCCTTTGTCTTGTTTTGGGGTTGTTATTTTCTCCTGCTTCTTTTATTTCTCTTTTCATACTGGGGATCAACCCCAGGACCTCCCATGTGCCCACCCCCTCTTTTGCTTTTCCTAAAAAATTAAGATAAATTTTATTGTCCCTTTTCATGTTCCTGCTATTAGTCTTTAATGGCAGATCCCCATCCCCACCCCTCAGCCAGGGTTTCTCTGTGTAGCCCTGGCTAACCTGGAACTGGATCTGTACACCAGACTGGCCTTAAATTCAGAGATCCAATTGCCTCTGCCTCCCATGTGCTGGGACTAAAGGTGTCTGCGTGGTTTAGTCTCAGATTTGATATCTGCTCTGATGCTTCTTGAAACAAGTGCAGCATTTTTTTGGTGCCAAGGATTGAACTCAGGGCCTCACCTAGGCTACTGCACAGCACCCTGGCTCCCCGCCCGAACAAGCGCAGTCTTGCTGTAGAGCTCTGTCTAGCCTTTGTTCACTATTGCTGCTGTCTGGGTGTCTCATTTCTAATTGTGCACTAAAGGGCTGGCAGAAGGAGTTTTTGTATGTTTGAAACAGGGTTTCTCCGTGTAGCCTTGGCTGTCCTGGAACTCACTCTAGAACAGGCTGGCCTCAAACTCAGAGATCCTCTTGCCTCTGCCTCCTGAGATAGAACTGTTTACCCAACAGTGCTCTGCCAAGAGGTGCTTCCTTAGACCATGTTAGAGGAGGGAACAAAAATGACACATTTGGGTTGCAAAGAAAGAACTGATATACTGGGACTAAGAATCAGCCTTATGAAACCTGACAAACTAGGTCACTTGGATGGCAGACCGATGATTGAGCTTCATTTTTCATTTGTATGATCTATGTATGTATGTGTGCCTGGAAGTTAGAGGACTAAGGGTATTCTGTTTATCACTCTTTGCCTTATTTCCTCCAGACAGGGTCTTTCCCTGAACTGGAGTTAGCTGGTGGCTAGCAAGCCCTAGCAAGCTTCCTGTCTCTGCCTCCCATAGCACAGGTTATAGGAACACAAAACATCATCTGGCTTCTGGGGATTTGAACTGAGGTCCTCATGATTGTGCACCAAGCCTTTTTTTTTTTTTTTTTTTTGAGACAAGGTTTCTCTGGCTGTCCTGGACTCACTTTGGCCTTGAACTCACAAAGATCCACCTGTCTCAGCCTCCCATAGTGCTAGAATTACAGGTATGCGCCACCACATCCTGCTGCAGCAAGCACTCTTATCAGTTGAGCCATTTCTGCAGACATATTAAACTTTTGAGGGATTGGTATTGATCTGTGTTTGCGGCTGTGTGCATTTCTATGCATCACTTGTATGCAGGAGCCTGTGTAGATTAGAAGGGCTGGATCCTTTGGAACTGGAGTTACAGAGGTTGTGAACTGCTATGTGGGTGCTGGGAACTGGAACTTTACTGCCTCCTCGGGGGCTGCGCTCACAGATGCGGAGAGTGAAGGAGGGTGAGTTGTCTCTCCTGGAGGCAGTTGTGGCTGCAGCTACATTGTACTTGTCAAAATACTGTTTATCACAGTCCAGACCAAGGCCGTCTGCAATGCAGTTAAGGGTTTTTAACTGATGAGCCATCTCTGTTTGAGCGGATTTATTTTACGAGGAATGTTTTCTGTGCATGTATTTATGTACAGTGTGTGTGTGCCTGGTGTCTGCAGAGGTAGGAGGGCATAAGATCTGTAACTGGAGTTAATTGATGGTTGTTGGTTGTGAGCCATCTTGTGGGTGCTGGGAACCAAACCTAGGTTTTCTGCAAGAGCAACAAGTGCTCTTAACCACTGAGCCATCTCTCCAGCCCCTGATTGACCTTTTTAAGAGGGAAGCACTGAAGGAGAGCTTTTCTCAACTCAAAATGTAAAACTCAAACCATTCATGATGTTTTGTTTGCTTGGCTGGGCAGTAACAAGACCACCACCAGTAGTCCTCTTAACTGATGATTTAAAGAAACTATGTAGACTTGTGGGGTCAGTCAAGTATGGTAGTACAGACTAGTAATTCAGCATGCAAGAATCTGAGGCAGGAGGATCAGAAGTTCAAGGCCAGTCTAGAATTTCAATAGTAAGCTTGAGGCTAGCTCAGACTACTTAGTAATACTTAAACAAGTGACATAAACAAGTTAATCTCCAAGGATCAGTGGGCCAGAGTGGGTGCCTTACTGGAGCACCCATGGCCACAAGGAGCAGAGTAGGTCAGCTAAGGAATAGACAGCTTTCTTAATTACAGCGTCACTGGGCTTGGCCCCGTGACTGACCCTGTGGCATGTGAAAGCTGGTGCAAAACTCCGTGGCTTAGCTGGCTGTCTGGGGCAGTGGCCATAGTGAATAAGTTTTTGTCATAGTAGGTGCCATATAGGTCAAGGGAAATTCTGAGAGGAGGTCACAGACTCTGAAATGACTTTAAGCAGATGTACTTTAGGGAAGGAGTTTCTTTGAGGGTATTCTATTGAGAGCTACAATCTGTTTCTCTCTTCTGGGACAGATTTTTTTCTGTGTAGCCCTGGCTGTCCTCAAACTCAGGAATCTCCCTGCCTCTGCCTCCCAAGTACTGAGATTAAAGGTGTGTTGTGCTGTGCTGCTGGCAGCTGCAGTCTCTTTAAAATTTATTTACATACTATTTTACACTTTCATTATGTGGGTCCTGGGACTCAGACTCAGGTCATCATGCTTAGCACCATGTGCCTCTACTTGCCAAACTCTCTCACTTACCCTGTATTCATTCTTCTAAATAACAAATCTGAGCTTCCAGATGTTGACTGTCAGTGGCAGAGAATCACCGTGCAGGCTTATGAACTTACTCCCTGGGAATTGTACCAGCTTCCCAGGCATCCCAGCTAAGCATTTTCATCTTTACTCCTTGAACACTTATCTCCACTACTGAGAGCCTTTTTGCTTAGGACCTATGCCTGGTCATGTCTGAATGTTCCAGGCTTGGCTCTCTAATGAGAATTAGGTCAAAGAAAGTAGTCAGCAGCATGAACAGACATGTGGGAAACTGAGTCTTTAACTTCTAACTCATCATCTCTGTGAGGAACAGAGCAAGGTAGCTCAGTCTCCTGTCCACTGCAGGAATTTTGTTTCTCTTGAGTGCTGCAATTAACAGCCTTGGGGCATGACAACCAAATGAAATCCTCTCTGGTAGACTTCCACAAGGGTTGGAGGTAGAAGGTAAGGGAATGTTGCAAATGGAGTAACTCTGGCACATAGCAAATCTCTTTTCAAGACCTTAGAAGCCTATGGATTGTTGCCATGTGGGGGCTTCAGCTTGGTGAGACAGAACTTGAGGTGTTCAGAGCATTCCCTGTTTCATGGAGCTCTATTAGCTCTCGTGCTGGTGGCATCAAGGCCCTTTCTCACCTCTACAGCTCCCTGACTATGTAAGTTCTGGCCTTTAAGCCCAGAGAAAAGGCAACAGAGCCAGAGCAGTGCACCCTGGGAGGTACAATCTCCCACTTGAACTTCCTCAGCATGTGCTCTTTTTCTAGCAAAGACCCACTAGGATATCAAGCTCTCCACACCAGTTAAACTACTCACCTATTTTACTTTGGCCCTGCTGGGCAGAGTAGGTCCTGGTTTGATTTTTCTCATCTCGGGAGGTTATTGTCCAAGCTCAGTTGGAATGTCTCTATCTTGCCCATGTGCAGTCTTGTTCATCAGTACTCAGATTGGATATGAGGTCTGGTACTTTTCCTTGGTCCTTTAATCTCTAAGCTCTTACTGCAAACTGCTAAAAGATACTAGAATGATCTTTAAATATCATGCAGGGTTTTTTATTTGTTTGTTTGTTTTGAGACAGGGTTTCTTTGTATAGCACTGGCTGTCCTGTAATTCCCTCTATATACCAGGTTGGCCTTAAACTGGGATTAAAGGCGTGTACCACTGCCTGGCTCATGCAGGTTCTTATAGTTGATACTCTAACCAGCAGCAGTCAACTGTTTATAGACTGGAGCTCCAACTCTGTGTACTCACTTGGTATCTTCTGAAGCCTCACCCATGAGGATTTCTAGATGATAATGCTTTTGCTTTCAACATTCAGTCAGATGGCAGGCTGTCTCATATGGGCACACTTTCTTGTTTGGTTGATTTCTGTTGGCCGCAGGAAATCTGCCTTTATTCTTCACTCCACATTCCCAAGGCCCCTCTCCAGTCACTGAGGTTTGGTTGTTGACTTGGTTACAGGTACAAGTGTGAGAAAGACTGGAGCAATGTGAGGCTGCTACTCATGACCCAGGCTGGCACTCACACAGGTAGTAGCTTCTGGCAGATGTCTTTGGCTGATAAGGATGATTAACAAATTCTTGGCTCATCAGCTCTACCTGTATTTTTAAGGCCATTTCTAACCCACCTCCCCAATATTTCTGTTGTTGGTGGTGTGTTTGTTTTTCCAAGACAGTGTAGACCAGATGGCCTGAAACTCAGGGATTCACTTGCCCCTGCCTCCCAAGTGCCCAGGCTGGCTTCGAATGTGCCATGTAGCCAAAGGTTACCTTGAATTCATCTTTTTGCCTCTATTTCCCAAGTGCTAGGATTATAGATGCTGTCACCATACCCAAACTGCAGCCTACTTCTTAAACTTTTTCTTCCCATTCTTGTTTTCTGCAGTTTGAGTAGTAGCTAAACAGAGGGATCTTATATTCGACCCTGACCACCACAGTCCACAGCTGGCTTGGTACTGCTTTCTTCCCAGATCATTCCCCTAGCTTATAATTCATGCTTTCTCTTGAAGACTAGTTTCTGCCCTTCCATAAGAAATGACCTGGCTCAATGGACAATGCTGAACAGTCCCTCTTCTGTGGTTGGAGAGTAAGCCCTAGTGGTGAGCTGAACAATCCCCGTCTTTAACCCTGTCACTTAATTCTCTGCCAGCTACACAACAGCTAATGCTGAATCTGACTATGAGCGGGACTCTGACAAGGAGAGTGAGGATGGTGAAGATGAAGTGAGCTGCGAGACTGTGAAGATGGGGAGAAAGGATTCTCTGGACCTTGACATGGAAGTAGCTTCAAGTCCAGTGTCTGGTACCTTGGAGGATGATGGCTCTTCAGGCCTTGAGGATGTGCTGCCGCTCTTGCAACAGGCAGATGAGCTGCACCAGGGTAGCGAGCAGAACAAGCGGGAAGGCTTCCAGCTGCTGCTGAATAATAAGCTGGCGGTGAGACTCCTTCTGCCTGTTTCCCTTCTCTTTAGCTCCTCACTTGAATCTGGCACTCCCAGGAACTGAGAAGACCCATGTGGTTTCTATCCCAACAAAACAACATGGGAAAGCAGACAGGGTGAGACAGCTGCTTCTACATATCCCCCAGGTTGCTTATTCTTTCCCAGAGGCCCTGAAGCTAGTGTACTGCCTAGCCACTGCTTCCTGCCCCTGAGAAAAGGGCTTTTAGAGGAGGGGGCTCCTGTAGAACTCTAAGGAACCCTACCTCTCTGCAGGGGTAAAATGTGCAAAGAACCAGAATACCTACGCCTACATAATTTCATCAGTTTTTCTTGAGACAGAGTTGAATCTGCCTGCCCTACTTGAAATTTCTATTACAAATGACATTGTGTAGGTCAATCAACAATTCCCACAGGTTCACAAACCAAATTTACTCGGTAAATTCCTCCCTGAAATTAGATACCACCCTCCACCCCTGGAGGCAGGCCTCACTAAGCAGCGCTGGCCTCAAACTCCTACAGATCCACCTTTCTCTGCCTCCTGAGTGCTGTGATTAAAGGTGCACGCCACCATGCCCAGCAGAATTGTCTTCTGAGCAATTTCATATTTCAGCCCAAGACTTCTTTTGCTGTGTTGGAGCTGACCTTTCTTCCTGGCAGGAGACCAAAATGTTCTTATTCTGCAATTGTGCAAGCTATCAACTAGAAATGATATCGTCAGTGAACTGCATGGCCAGTTATGTAGGGGGAAGGCTATGCACAGAGGGTGCCAGATGTCAGTGATTGTACCACTGAATTGGAAACAAACCTACAGCGTGGGGAGAAAACCAGGGCCCCCACTCTTTATGGCTGAGAAAACTCATTTATTCCTTTTTGATCTGTAGTATGGAAGCCAACAAGACTTTTTGTGGCGCCTGGCCCGGGCCTACAGTGACATGTCAGAGCTTACTGAGGAGGAGAGTGAGAAGAAATCATATGCCCTAAATGGTAAATGCTGACAGGTGTCTGATGGGAATGTAACGAGCTGATGTAGGTCCAGCTAGCCCATTTGCTCGAGGCTCAGGGGAACCACCAAGATGCTGTCAGGACAGGAATAGTATAGTTATTCAGTAGGGACAAACTGGCTTCCAAGGCCCCTTACTTCCTCTGAAGATAGCATAGTCTGCTTTTCTGCTCTTCACAGTGACCAAGTAGCATAGGTTCTTGTTGTTTTAAGTGTTTATGCCATGGTCACACTATTCTTTGCTTTGACTTCCCAACCAGAAAGAAGGGGTACCCTTTTCTTGGTGGGGAGGAGGGGGCAGTTCAAGACAGGCTTTCTCTGTGTAGCCTTGACTGCCCTGGGCTCACTTTGTAGATGAGGCTGGCCTCCAACTCAAGAGATGCACCACCCCTTCCTCCATGAGTGCTGGAATTACAGGCGTGCTCTATCTTAACCAGAGGAAGTTTTTGCCTACTACTTAGGAATCTGGAGTCACTGGAACAGAGATTCTGAAACTGAGTGTAGTATGTATTTGTGTACCTAAGAGAAGCAGTTTGGGAGATTATTGCTGGCTTATGTAAGTCTCTTAAGAGCCATTTAGTAAGTCTGTTTCCTGAGTCCCTACTTTGAAAGGAAAAATGCCAACTGAACTGTGCCAGTTTTAGGACTTGACCTCGTCAGTCATGAAGTGAGAGAAACCAGAATTAAAAAAAAAGAAAGAAAGAATGAACTGGGTGTGGCAACTCACACCTGCTCTCTCAATCCATGGGGGCTGGGGCAGGAAGACTGCTGAGTTCCAGGTTCAGTTACTTTTTCTCTTCAAAGGTTTCTGATTTCAGCTAGGTGTTGGTGGCATATACCAGGACCCAACATTTAGGAGGATCATGAATTTGAGACCAGCTTAAGCTATATAATGAGACCCTGCCTTAAAAATAAATTTTTGGAGACAGGTTTATCTCTTCTGGAACTGGCTACATAGACTGGGCTGGCTTCCAAATTCCAGCAATCCTTCACCTCTGCCTTTATCCCCTAGGGTTGCACCACTACACTCAGGGAAAAGAAAGGTTTGTGGGTATTAAAGAGATGGTTCAGCAGTTAAGATCACTGGCTGCTCCTCCAGAGTACCCACATGGTGGCTCACAATTGTAACTCCAGTTCTAGGTAGGGGATCAGATGCTCTCTTTTTGCCTCTTTGATATACACGTGTTACAAAGACATATCTGTAGGCAAAACACGCCTAGATATTAAAGTTTGTTTACTTCTTAACCAAGACAGGTGATCACTCTGATTAGCATCTGTGCTAGTTTGATCTCTTGGTATCAAAAGGATTTTCTCTTGACCATTTCTCCCTTTCCCCATAGGACTCTATTCTTATTAAAAGTCTGAGGGGGATATACTAACACATGGCCGTAATCTCAGCACTGGAGAGGCCTGTGGCTTGATATACAGTGAATTTCAGGCCAGCTAGCTAGCCACTTAGTGAGATAGTGGTTTCCCTCCAACCCCGCCCCTAATCTTTTACTCTTCCATGAAGATAGTAGTAAGAGGATGGATTACAAGCCCCACTCCTTTTTTGGAACAACTGGCTTTCTTTTTAATAATTTTATTGGCTTTGTGGTAGTGGCACAGCTCTTTAATCCTAGAACTTGGGAGGCAGAGGCAAGTAGATCTGAGCTCAAGACCAGCCTGGTCAACAGAGAAACCCTGTCTTGAAACAAAACAAAACAACAAAACTTAAGATTATCAAATCATGAACACTTTTCTGAATAAAATATAAACATACCTAACTTTCTATGCAATCTCAGTGATACATAAACATCCTAAGCCTGTGTACACTTTTCAGAATAAGGTCTGTTGAAGACAGTTTCTGTTGGTTTCTCTTTCATATCTGAATTGTTAAAATCGACTTCAAGAACATTAAGTAGGTATAAAAAGATGTTAGGTTGGAACCAGGCACAACACAAGCTGTTATTCTCAGTACTTGGGAGGTGGGAGCAGAATCTCAGGTTCAGGGCCAGTCTGAGCTGCATGAGGAAAACACAAACCTCAAAACAAAAACCCAGAGATAGCTCAGGCTCACACTGGTAGGGATGGGGAGCATGCAGCTGAAGTGGTCGTTCTTCCTGCACTGCTGCTTGTGGACATGAGCACAGGAGCCTGTGTTAACTCTGGGTCTACCTGTCTTCTAGGAAAAGAAGAGGCAGAGGCTGCTCTGAAGAAAGGAGATGAGAGTGCTGAAAGTCACCAGTGGTAATGCTATCCCGCAGACTTTTAGGGAGAGCCAGAGTGGACCCTAGGCTTTACCCTGGTCAGAGGTGTTTGCTTCAAGAACCAGGAGGGGGACCACTAGCATGAATTTCTGCAGAATTTCAGGGATCAGGGAGGTAACTTTTGCTTTGGAGAGTAAGGCAAGGGAACGTACAAGCTTTATTCTGCTGGGCCAGGAGGACTAGGTATCTTTCCAAGAGTCACTCTGGCCACAAACTTCTTTCTTGGCTCTTCAGGGAAGCTGGGACAACTTGCAATTCCTGTCCTGCAAGAGCTCTTTCCCCAGCTGTGATCCCTGGCTGGTGGTACACATTGGCTTCTTTTGCATGAGAAAAAGATGTGAGCTTACACCCAGGAAGTTCAGTGATTAACTTATTACCTTATTGGGCTGACAGTATAGACAGTGCCTGTCTAGCACGCATAAGGCCCTGAGTTCCAAACTCAGCACCACACAAAAATAAACCCAAGACTCCCCCAGTGAGTCCTTTTGTAGTCTCTTGGGAGACAAGTTCTGCCAACTGACACATGCCAAGGCCAATTCATGTCCTGGGCCCTGATTCCAGCATCTGTTTTAGTTTTTAAAAAGAGGTTTGTTCTTTCACTGTCCTCTGCTTTTCAAATCTCTACTCTCAGATTGTAAGATTAGAGGCTGTGTTTTGCCATCTAAGGCTGAAATTTTCCATGCAAAGGTTTTGCTCAAAAGCCAGGTAGCTGTAGCTAGGTGCCATTACTTTTCCTTGGGCTCTCAGCTCTCAAGGATGAAAACCCAGTCCTTTGGATTATACATGGAAATCCTTTTCAGGTGTCTGATACAAATCGCCCATGCCCTCAGTATTTGGGGAATATATGAAGAAGAAGCTTGGGCATGGGAAGACATCTGTTGTCAACTCCGCTTCTAGTACTGGGTGTTTTGGGGCAAAGTTCAGGTAGTAATGTCTTCTGGTTTCTATGGTGTGTGTGGTGCTGGGGATTGAAGTCAGGGTCTTGTACTGTGTATTTTACCACTGAACTGTCCTTAACAGTTTAGATTGGGGGTGAGGGTGGAGAGGTGGCTCAAGTAGATAAAGGTACTTTTAGGGCAAGCCTGAAAGGTATAAGGAGAGAACTGACTCCACAAAGTTGTATTCTGACCTCCACATTGTCTACCATTGAATGTGTCTATAAAAACACATTAAATTTAAACAATTTTAAAGGGCTGGAGAGATATAGTTCAGTGGTTAGAAGCACATACTGCTCTTCCAGAAGATTCAAGCTCAGTTCCGAGGTTAGATGGCTTGCAACTAACTCCAGTTTAGTCTGATGCCCTTCCTGGACTTAGTGGACTCTGTGCTTATATGCATATAGCTATACAGAGACACATATTAAAACCACTAAGCTTGTAACCTAACTACTTTTTCATGTTTTTATGATACTTGTGACTGTACTGTATGAAAATAAGGTAATGTCAAGATCCAGGTTGAGACCTTGTCTGTGTTTTTTGTTCAACACAGGGGTTTGCTATGGTAGCCCTTGCTAGTCTGGTACTTAAATATAGCTTAGGCTGGCTTCAAACTCCTTCTGCGTCAGTGTTGAGTGATGTGATTACAGAAATGTGCCATCACACTTGGCTAAATGTTCTAAAGCATAAAGAGAGATTTACTTATACTAAAGCATAAGAGAGATTTACTCTGTGTGGGTGTGTAGAGTGCCCAGGCAGGAATAGAAAGGGCCTTAAAAAGAAAAACAACCTAGAATTACTTTGGAGAATTGTAAGCCTACCACTAAGTATTAACTGGGATCATTAAGTCTAAGAATTACTTACATAAAAAAAAAATAATAATAATAATCCATTTTCAGTTATATGTAAGCAGAGAAGAAGCATACTAACTACATTGTGGGTGAGACACACATTCCCTGCACTGACAGTCCAGTCCTTGTCCCTGAGCTTGCTGCTTCCCCCCTTAGGTATGCAGTGCTTTGTGGTCAGCTGGCTGAGCATGAGGGCATCTCGAAGCGTATCCAGAGTGGCTTTAGCTTCAAGGTGAGGACAGGCTTCCTTTTCCCTTGTGCTGGCCAGTCCAAGCTCCCTGCTCCCTTAGACTGGCTTTCTCACAGCATCAGTGCTTTGTTGCTCTCTTCTGAGCAGCTCCAAGTTCGATGTTGATTTGTATTTTCTCCTCAGGAACATGTGGACAAAGCTATTGCACTTCAGCCTGCTGACCCCAGGGGTCACTTCCTTCTTGGCAGGTGGTGCTACCAGGTGAGCTACACACCAGGTGAGGCCTGACATGTTCCTGCCACGCCATCTCCAGCAAGGTCCTCACAAGCTTCCTGGTCTGGCTCTTATTCCTCTGAATTGTTCATGGTATTGGTAGATGACCCTGTTGTATGTAGCCCAGTCTGGCCTTCAACTCATGATCTTTCTGCCTTAGCCCAAGTGCTGGGATTACAGGTATATGACATCATGTCTAGATACTGCTTTTAATGGGTACCATTCTGTGTTTACCATTCCCAAAGAAACCTTTGACAGTGCTGCCGACTAAGTCTAGGGAGTCCCATGCACTATACACTCTAAAGCTTTGGGTCCTGACCCAGGAAACTTTTATGTGTGTGCTTGTGTGCATGTGGCTGTACACATGCCATGGTAGTGTGTGGAGGTCAGAGAACCACCTGAGGAACTTGGTTCTCTCCTTCAACCATGTGAGCTCTGCTCAGGTCTAGGGTTGGCAGCCAATGGCCTTACATTGCTGAACCATCCTGGTAGCCTGAAACTGGTTTTTTTGGAGATGGGATTTTATGTAGCCCATTTGAACTGATTCTCTTGCATCTAGATTGTTGGGAATACAGGCACATGACAATTTGCATTTTTTGATGGCAGGTCTCTCACTTGAGCTGGCTGGAAAAAAAAAACGGCTACAGCCTTGTTTGAAAGCCCTGTGAGTGCCACTGTGCAGGATGCACTCCAGAGTTTCCTAAAGGTATCAAGAAGGGAGGGGTGGGTGGAGGCCACAATGGCTTGCTCCTGGGAAAGATGTGTTTCCTGGTTGGGGACAATTTTGCATTTGCCTTATTTTGAGGGAAAATCAAGAATAGTTGGAGTTTATATCAGTCTTGTGATTATTAAATAGAGCTTTCTCATACCTAAACTTCAGCATGAATTTATGAACCTGTTAATAAAATTATTTTCTTCTTTCTCCAGGTTGAAGAACTACAGCCAGGATTTTCAAAAGCTGGACGGGTATATATTTCTAAGGTAAATTCACCTTTTAACAAAGAAAGTGAATACTTACGTTGTATTTCTGGGATCTTTTAGTGCTGGGGATTAAACTGTTTGTACTCTGCCATTGAGCTATCTGTCAAGTTGAAAGCTTTATTGAGATGTACTAGTATCATTAGCTCAGGCCAATCTTTCATTCATGGCAATCCTCTTGCCTCTGCTTCCTAAATATTGAGGTTTTAAGTATGAGCCACCATATCTTTTTTTTTTTTTTCCCCTGCTTTTCTGAGACAAGGTCTTAATGTGTAGACCAGGCTGGCTTGGAATCTAAGAGACCCACCTGTTCATGCTTCTTGAGTGCTGGAATTAAAGGTGTGCACCACCATTCTGACCTTCTGGGCACACAAACACATAGGTCTTTCTGATCTTTATGTTTCACTGTTCTTTCTTCTCAGTGCTATAGAGAATTAGGAAAAAACTCTGAAGCTAGAAAGTGGATGAAGTTGGCCCAGGAGCTGCCAGATGTCACCAATGAGGTAAAATATCAATTATCATCTTTTTAAAAAAGAGAGCACTTCAAAATGTAGTTTAGGCTGGCCTCCATCTGATCATCTTGTCTGAGCCTCCCACGCAGAATTACATTATACTACAACCTACCTTGGTACTAAGTTATATGGGAAAGTCATGTGTATGCTATGACTCATGGTCAGGACGACCTCAGTGTCCATCTTCCCCTTTCCCCTTGTTTGAGACACGGGTCTCTTTTGTTATTTGACACTGTGCATACTGAGCTGGCAAGCCAGAGAGCTTCAGGGGACTCATCTTCTCCTATCTCCCTTAGGAGCACTGGCTACACCAGCTGTGTTACTGTACTTGGTTTGATGAAGGTTCTGAGGTCTGTGCACTCACACCCTAATACTAAGATGGCAAATGCTCCCCAGGCTCTAATAAAATTTTTAAAAGAGACTTTACATACTGATTCCGCCCCAGAGTTAGCTTTCCCAGGATAGAAAGTTTCCTTTATGTGTGGTCTCCCACGTACACCTCACCTAACGGAAGAAACAGACTGCATGGACTCTAAGCTATCTTGGGAAAAGTTCAGAGGAAGAATGGTTAGCAGCTCAGCAGAGAAGCAAAGGGTCCCAGTCCCCTGTCAGGTTCTTGTGACTTGGGAAAAGCTCAATTCTGATTCTATACTTGATCTGTTTTCTTTGCCTCCCAGGATTCAGCTTTCCAAAAAGACCTGGAAGAATTGGAAGTAATTTTAGGAAAATAATCACATTTCAGTTACTTGGGGGCTACTACTTAAATGTGGAAAAGAAAATCAAGTTGCTTTTTCCCCCTGTGATCCTACTGTGTTCAGGAATCCAAGCAAGATTGGCTTAGGGGATGTCTTGTCCCCTGGATGTCTGACTGCTACTACCATCACCCTCAACTTTCTATGTTATCAGTTAATTTATTCTAATTTCCTACTTAATCTAAAATTGGGGATGTACTTGCAGCTAAGGTTTCTGCTTTCTTCCTCTTAAGTGAATCCTTGAACAATCAAGACAGTATAGCCATAGGATTTAGGATGGACACAGCACAGAAGGCCAAGAGCTGAGAGAACAAAGGAGTAGAACTGTCTTCCAACTGCCAGTGAGGTAGATGAACGTCAAAGAGCCCCGGCAACAAAGCATAGGACTCAGAATATTCTTTGCTAATATTCAACATGTACTTATTGTCCTATAAAGTCATGCCCTACCTATGAGGACAAAAGGAGCTGCCAGTACAGCCCTCATACCACCCATCATGTAGACGCTGCCTATATTCCTGGGGTGAGAGGCTGGACCACATGACTTCCAGAGTTCTGGCAGCTTTTGGGGATGGCAGCACTGGCAAAGGGTTTATAAATGTATTTTGAAAGTGATCTGAAGAGGTGCCTGTAATATTTTTTTGGTACAAAATTGAAATAAACTAAATTTGATTAGAAGGATATGTTGTCTGTTTCTGTTATTTTTGACTTCAGAGTTCTTCCCTTCCACAGGAGAAATTAAAGACAAAAACAGTATAAATACTTTGAGTTCTTTGTTTATAAACTTTTCAGAAAAAAACTTTGTAAGTTTTCTATGCAAATGTTTTATTCCTCCACCCAGTAAAACCTTTGTTTACACAAAGGCCCCCCACTTTGTTACAGGATAGTTAGAGCAGCGACCCCTTTTCCTTGCTTTGTAGACTAGGCTGCCCTGAACTCAAGAAATCCACCTGCCCTCTGAGTGCTAAGTTAAAAACAAGCCCCAGCATACATAGGCCCCCTCCATAAACATTATTTCTCAGAGGCTGGAGAAATGGCTCAGTGGTTATAGGCACTTGCTCTCTCAGAGGACCCAGGCCATGTTCTCAGCACCCACACAGTGACTCATAATCATCTGTAACTCCAGTCCCAGGACATTTGATGACTTCTTCATGTAGCAGGCAGGCACACGTGCTGTACACACACACATGCAAGAAAATGCTTATACACATTTAAAAAAAAAAAATGTGTATGCTCCCAGAGGCCAGAAAGTGTTAGATTCCTGGAGCTCAAGTTGAAGTTGTTTGTTTGTGAGTTACCTGATAGAGGTGCTGGGAATTGATTTTCAGACCTCTGACAAAGCAAGCATCTCTTAGCTGCTAAGCCATATCCATGGAGCTTCCAATGCCTTCGCTGACATTTTGGGCCTGTTTCTGTTATCCCCATAACAAACTTAAAATATATGATGACTTCTCCATCTCTTCAGCTCCTGACAGCTGCCAGCATTTTCAGCTTACCTATTCTATTGCTTTTGTCTCACACTTGTATAAAATTGATTTTGAGCTTCATTCTAAATCTGTTTTTGAAATTCTTTTATTAATAAGGCTTAAGAACTCAAAAAGGAGACCACGGTTTTGGAAATACTCTTAAAGTAGAATCGTTTCGGCAATGTTAGGCCTCTGAATCACAAGACTTATGTAGGGCTTTCTTTAGTGTTCACATCTTCAAACTATAGCATCTGATTATAACTACTCAGTACCAAAAGATGTTACAGAAACCCCATTTTGCAATATTCAGTCTGCATTAGAATATCTCCAGTAAATAACACAGTCACTGCACACAACTACTTTATTAGCAGCTGTGGAATGAACTGGCTTACGTGAAGTCTTCGTAGCTGAATAACAAGCATGTCCTGAAGGGCTGATAGACTAGCGTGCCACATGCAAGAAGACTGCTCAACCAAAGAATAATCTTCAAAATTACGTGACAGTTTAGGTATAGAATTTTAAAGTTTGCATCTTACTTAGAGAAAAGAATGTGTAAAAGCACCCGTTCTCACTGTTCCAGAAGTCTCAGATCTTTCCAGCTTTACTTCCCTTGGAGACACAAGACTGTCTCATCTGTCCCATACCTGTTATTTCATACCTCTACTCCAAACACACACACACACAAAATCAGTTATTAATATACTATAGAAGAAATAAACATGTCAGATCAGTTTGAATACTGACCTATTTCTGACACCAGAAAGCTGATACAATAGTTGTTTTCCCAGAAGCCATGTCCTGGCAGTCGCAACAGGATGAAGAAGCCCAGGGAGCAGTCCTGTTCATTAGGCTAGACAGCATTTAAAACCTTATCCCAGGAAAGAAGCCCTAATGATTCAGTCTTTGGCATCTCCCACTCCATCTGCATTAATGGCAAACATAGCTTCAGCTTCAGGAAGACAGGGAGAGTCGTAGATTTTGCAGATTCTGGTTTCCCCTCTTCCTTTCCTTAGGTATAGCCTGACCCAAAGACACAGATAAAACATGAAGTTATAAGCAATTCTACTCCTATGACAGAACTAATTATTTCAGACATAAGATATTACCTAAAAGGATTTTTAGGATCTTTACATTTTAGTGTACCTCCAACTTGGGAGGAATCTATTTTTGCCATGACTTTCTTATTGAAAAGTTCTATGAGCAGGGCACGATGGTGCACTCCTGTAATCCCAGCACTCTGGGAGGCAGAGGTAGGCAGATCTGTGAGTTCAAGGTCAGCTTGGTCTAGAAAGTGAATACAGGATAGCAAGGCTTCACAGAGAAACCCTGTCTGGAAACAAAACAAAACATCCCCCCTCCCCCCCCAAAAAAAGCTCTACGAATGAAATATTTTATAATTAGGGAGGCATATCAACTATTCATGTATCCTTTTTCATAACTGAGAGATTTTTAATTACATGTAGGTGCTTGTGTCTGTATGAGGGTCTGTGCACATGAACCCAGACTTGTTTGATCTCCTGGAGCTGGAGAGGTTGTGAGCTACATGATGGGGTTGCTGGGAACTGAACTCAGGTTCTCTACAGGAGTGGTGGTACATGCTCGTAACCACAAAGCCATTTCTCCAGCAGCAAGCAAACACTTGTATCAATCAAAGGAGGACAAAGTTAGTGAGGCTTCCCAAGTGTCAATACTGCAGAATTTTAATAGGGTTTAAGTGGAAGTGTGTTCTGTTTATGTCTGGATCACAGTGTATTGACATCCATTTCAGGAAACCCTGCTGTCACCTTACCTTGTTGTTGATGCATGGGCGATGATGTTTCCTCCAATGGGTTTTTTAGGATCTGCAGCGAACATGGCTGCTCCATCCACCTGGGCTACTACCTGGTTGGTGATTACCACTGCTACACCAAACTGATGAGGGAAAGAATGTCAGTTTTGTGACCACAAACATCCAAAAACCTTAATGCACAGAACAGAGCCATGGCTAACTAATGTTCATCTTGGATACCATAAGGCACTGATACCGTCAAAAGACACCTGGAATTTACAGCCGATGAAAGTAAGCCTTCTTGGTTTCTTTTCTATTGCTTACCTCATCGGCAAGTCTCAGCAGCATCCTCAGAAATCTGGCCAAATGCATCTGCCTGGCTGAAAGCTCCCCTCGACCTGAGTAGTCGGTTCTGTAGAGGGCAGTAGCACTGTCCACAATAAGTAGTGCATATCTACAAGAAACACAAATCTCTGTCAAATTCTTCTCCCTTACTCCCCACCCGAAATGTTACACGTATTTACACTTTTCTTCTTTCTGAGACTGGGACTTGTTGCTTATGCAGCTCAAGTTGTCCTGACCTTTATGATCCTCCTGCCTTAGTCTTCCTAAGATAAAGCATGAGTCACAGACACCGACCTCCAAGTTCACACACACACACACACACACACACACACACACACACACACACACAC